GAGAGGATGCTTGTTTTCAAAGGAGCAAACATGTAAACCTTTATACCCAATGGTCTCTTTGCTATCAGAAGGTCTGAGCAGATAAAAAGACAGCAGCAAAAGATAGTCCTAGGTTAGTTTCTCCAAAAGTTATTTAGAGCCCCAAATCTCCCTGAAAAGGACTCCATAATTAGAGAGCTACCTTCAAACAAATTATATACGGTTTATGTGATCCCAATAAAAAATAAGATAAGGGCATTAAAACAATAAATTATTATACATATATAAAATCTCTCCCTATTAATTTTGGCAGAAATTAACTGTTAAGTTCAAGAGCACAGACCACAACATGGTTCAGTAGATCAGACTTGTTGACTCGGGTTTATCACTTACCTGAAATATAAAACTGTCCACATTAAAAAAACTAAACACAGAATAATTATCCTTAAAGAACTCTGAATTATAAGGCATCCCACGGTACTTTTCTCAAGCCTAACGTTGCTATACTTACAGAAGAATCAGAAAAGAAAATAAGCACAGATTTTTACAAATAAGCTTAGCTGTATCGTGTTCCCTCATATTCTGTATGTACTACATAATAATCCACTAAAACTTACAATAGCTACTTAATGATGTTCATTTAACAAACTGGAACTTGAAGAATAGCTCCTGATAGCAAAATTGAGACTATATCAGAGTGCTAAAGCTGTCACTTCAAGTACAAATGAAGTGAAGTGCATATATTCTAAAGAACTGATGTTAAAGATGGCTGATTACAAGAGGGTGAGAGGTAAATAAAGAAAACTGGACATTACAATAGAACCTGAAATCCAACTTGTTGGTGTCAACTGATAATCCTGGGGACTAGCAGACTGCTTAACTTGACATGTGTGGGTGTGTGCATGTGTCTACAAACACGTGTGTGGTGGGGTGGGGAGAGGCAGAGGTATGGGAAGAGGAAAGCGAACAATAAAATATGGTGGCTTAAAGTTATCAGAAGAATAATCAGGTGCATAAGCATTAGTTTTCACTCTTTTCAGGACTGGGAAAATATTCTTGGATGAGCTTCAGACCAGATAATGGCAGTTTCTCCTGGCAACTGGGCAGTAGGGAGAGGCTGTTCCCCATCACAGCATCTTTAGTAACTTGACTTTGAGAGTGACACCCCACCTAGCATCAGATAAGCATATCAACCCTTTTGATCAATGGAGCAACAAACACCACTGTCAAGGCAACCCATGGGCTCCTCTTTTCCATTAATGCATCCCTCTGAATGGGACTCAGGGAGGCCATGCCTCATAGACAATTGTACACTCGGCACAAAATTGGAAAAGTCCTGTATTGGCCACAGAAAATGAGGTGAGTAATGGTGAGGAAAAAGACTTCTCCACAAGCCGTGTCGGCTACAGTTAACATCATAATTATCCCATAACTTAGTATTTTCCCCTTACAAATTTCCTTGATATTCTGATCATGGTGACTACCTCATACAAACTAAACATAAAATATAGATGTACTCAAAGGGAGATGACCAGATTAATCTTCATGCTATCCTACTGCCTGGTTTGTGTCTCTCTAAGAAGGATGTGGTCGCATCACTTGGACTTATCATAAGGACAGCTTCGCCTCGAGGTCTTATGAGCATTAAATAAGGAGGTCTGCAGAAAGTACAACGTAATAACAATAAATGTTAGCTATATTATTACCGTCATTTAGCTCTGAGTGAGTCTCAACAGAAACATCACACACGCTAGCGAAACAGCAAAGAGTGGCAGCAAGAGAAAGGACTGGAAAGAACAACATTGATGGTGTGTTGCTCATTTTAAAAAGTGCAAACAGTGGGATTCCTCTACTGGTCCAGCATCTTTCCAGCCAGGGACTGGGCTTACCTGTGGGGGTCAAATATCCTCTAAGGTCTAAATGTGCAAAATAATGATGTTTATAAAAACAATGTAATATTAAAAAGTGACTGCAGCTTCATGAGCTGATAGAATTAAATTTTACATATAGTGTCCACTGGAGAGTGTACTTCAGTAAAATGAATTTTGTTTTCCCCTGGAGACTTAGCCACAATGAAGTCAGGAATGCATTAAACAGCAGAATGGAAAATATCTGGTGATGAAGAGGTTGGAGTGACAGCCAGGTCAATAGCACTACACCCTGTTGCTGGAAGATAAATTACATCTGACATTGATGTACTCCTTCAACAACATGACTCATTTTAAGGTTCTGATTAAGAAAAATGACTTAGTGCACTAATCTCAGTGACTCAAGTGGTATATAAAAAATTATAAGACAGAATTATTTAACTGTATTTTATACTGTGATAAAAAGTATAGATATACAAATTTTCTAATATACAGTTGTATTTTAGGGGACTTAATCTCAGCTTCAAATGAAGCTGATTATTCAGAGCCATAATTTGTTGTACATTATCATATTGTGACAAATGGCCTGTCTGATTTGAAAATTCTAAGTTGTATGGCCCAAGAAAACACAGCAGGAGCCCTCTGTACCTGCCTTCCACTGGACCAGTGTCCTGGATTAACCATTGCCCTGAGTTCCCTCTGTGAACCACAATGACGGATGCCCCATGGCACTAGCAGACAATCTCTGGTGCCACACACACTCCCACCAGCTGGACTTGACGCTGACAAAGAGTCGGCTGTGTCTTCCTGAACCTGTTTACCCCAGTTGATTTGTTACTGTAGTTATGAAATTTAATTAAATATTATGAAAGCTGATGGAATGAGTACAAAAGATAAATCTTGTTTCTATTAAAAACTAAGTTGAAGGCTTTGGAAAGACTTAGTAAAGGCAAGTCACTAAAAAAGAAAGCTGTTGGATTAGATGTGGGTGAGACAACTACAAAAAATAAGAAAAAAAACCCCATAAAACTTAAGATTCTGTAAGATTTGGATTGCTTTGCTAGTGTCTATGTTTTAGCTCTTGTGGTTTACACTATTAATACGACGTCAAACTCAAAACAGTAGAATCATGGTCAAAGAAAAGCCCTTGGCCTCACAAGAGTTTGGCAAATATATTTTCATATATTTTAATGAAATTAAGATATTTTGAGGACATACACTTTTTAAAGATTCCCTGCTTTAACCACTATTTCCAATTAATCAGTTCCAGTTATGTTAGGTAAGAGGGTCTTTTCCATGCTTCAAATTAGCAACTACTTTGGATTAGTGGCTTTCAAATTTATGAAGTGTTATGATGTAAGCTGGATTACTCTGGAACCTAGATGTTCAAATTTTTAGCCCATACTTTTGAAAGATAAAAAAATAAACAAATTTCCACCAGATTTAAAGATAAAAATATACTCCTGCCCTTTAGTCTAATATAGTAGAGAGAAGAGCACAGCGGTTAAGAACATGGCTCTGGTCAGACACCGAAAGTGGAAGCCTGCCTCCACCACTACTAGCTCCGTGACAGCTTAACCACGTAAGTCACTTAACCACTTAAGCCCCAGTTTTCTCATCTGGAAAATGCCATCAATATTGGTACCAACCTGAGTGGGCATAGAGAGGGTGAAATGAGAAAATGCATGTCATATCAAATGCTTAGCAAAGTTCCTGGTTCATAATAAGTGCTCAAAAATGTTCATCGGTATTATCACATTGCCTAATAGGAAAAAAGTGCCTACTACTACATAAATAAGATTGTAACTAATATGTTATCTCTTATGTTGGACTCGATGTGTCAGTTTTTAGCAACATGGCCTCCCCTATAGACAGCTCAGAAACACCTGCAGAAAATTTCTGCAGGTACAATAAAGCATGGGCTCTCCGCTAGGTGCCATTTCACCCCCTAGGGGACATCTGGCAATGCCTGGAGACATTTTAGGTCAGCACAACTGGGGTGGGGGAAGGGGGCACCTGTTGACATCTAGGGTGTAGATGCCAGGGGTGCTGCTAAACATCCGACATCCTACAATACACAGGACAGCTCCCTCCTCCAACAAACAATTATCTAGCCCCACATGCCAAGATGGGAACACTGAGAAATCCTGTCTCCTAAAGGAAATATAAGAAAGAAATGATTTCTAAAATTTGAACTCCAGAAAATTATTCTGAGAAAATAAAGACTGCTTAAAAATGAAATTGGGATTTTCATTATCATATTGACTCCAGGACCTATGCCACAGATATTTATGAGATATGGATACAACTATAATGAGTACTAGAAATAAAACCTTATTTGGAAGATAAATCTAAATAAGATTCAAAAGCCCCAAAACAGTAGGTGGGAAATCAAAACACTGCTGTAATACTCTGCATACAGGCAGACTCGCACCGGGCTGCAGAGATTACTGAGCTAATGGACCCCAGGTATATATCTTTCTTTGGCAAGCATCCTGTTTCCTAGCTTGGGTACTTGCATGAATTAAACTCACTCTTCAATTAATAATGCTACTCAAAAACACCACTAGAAAGCTCTTAAGAGTTCATTTAAACTATTTATTTTTCAATAAATCATAGGGCCTTTCTTAAAAGTATGAGATAAAACTATACATAAAGTATAATCCAACACTGTGAAATGAATAGGAATGTATTATAATTCCCATTTACTGATGAGAACATTGAGGTGGAAAAGAAAGGGTCCCACACTAACTGTAAAAGTGCTAAATAAATGAAAGGCAGCATTAAGATTGCTTTTGTAATCCTTAAAAAAAAGCCATGTTTAAAATATTTTCAACTTTATATGACATTTATCCTTCAAAGTGACACAGCAAGTCTTCTACAGACTATAATTTTATCCACTAAATCACAGGGTTTTTATTTTAAAAAAACATTATTTAATGTACAAGACATTTTTATACCTGAAAGGAGGAAGTAACTCAAAAAAATGCAAAAAGAAATACATTGCAACAAATAGCTATTTAACTATTTTACCACCAAGAGAAACAATTCAGGCAAATCTTATGTCACACTGCTAAAAAACCTAATAGGAAGTACTCTGCTTTTTTCAGAAAGTACAGCACAAGAAAATTAAAATAAAAGATCTCTACTCACCCTTCTGAAAGAAGAATTTCCTGTAATAGTATGCGCCCAGATCCACATGTTCCACAATGTACCTTTTCACTCGATCTAGATGCAACACCAAGTTTTCCTTGGGCACTTCAAGTACTGCCACTCCTGCATTTGTGCAATGGGAGCTGAGTGTCGACTCAAATGAGGCACTTTCACATCCACTAAAGGAGCCAGAATTCGATTTTGACAGGCTGATTTTCCTTTCACCTTCTCCACCAATCTCATTCCGAAAATACGGGCAGCTCATTACAAGTTCATTGCTTTTATCATCTCCCTGGTCCATGCTGAGGCTTCCTTTGGAATTCAGGTCCTCCGTGCTGCCCATTGGGGAGCTAAAACTGGCCGAGTGGGACAAAGGTCCTGAGACCAAGGACGCCACAGCAGCTGCTGAAGCCCCCGTGGTGGTGTTTCTCCTCTTAATAACATTGTGCCTGTTCAGAATCGCCTCATTCAAGTCAAATAATATACTCTGGACATCGTAGTGGGCAAAGCACTTTGGACATGTCCAGGGCCTGACAGAGTCTTCCGATCGGTTATCTTCAAGATCCGATGATTTCCCAAGTTCTTCACCTTTGGCATTGCGTAATTTACGAAAAATGGACGAGTCTCCAGTTTCAGACTTGGAACGTCGCTTAAGTGGTTTTTCCCTTTCCTTAAAGAGCCTGAGGTTCTCTCTCTGTGAGATGGGCCCATCTATAACATCCAAAGAGAACCCAGAGCCCTTGCCCCCACCGGCAATGAGGAAGTCACTGAGCTTGGTTGGAGTTGGACCTCGATCAGATTTGTCATCTTTGTAGCCCTTTAACAAATCAAAGAAGCTTTCTCCGGACGTTCCCTGCTTATCAATCGAAGATGTGCTACCATATTCCCTGTGCAGTGATGGCCCAGTCTTGTATGTGGGCGAGATACATTCATCAAAGCTATCCACATCAAGTTCACTTATGGTGATATCGCTGTTGCTCCGCTGCCTTATTCTGCGAAGAGCCTTTCTGGGAGAGCTGGGATAGGCTTCAGGCATGAGAAATCTGGAGTCCATGTTCTCCGACGGTCTTGTCTTGTTTTTCAGCGTGTTCTGTATGCTTTTTAACATGGCTGAGTCACTGGAATTGAGGCTAACAGAACTTCCCTGACTCACAGGACTGCTTTTGGAGGACAGGCTCTCAAGGCAACTTGAGGTTTCTATTTCCTGGCTTGAACGGCTAGATTCTTTAACATTTTCCTTTCTTGGGGGCCAATCTGCAATCCTTGCCCTAACCCCCATCTTTGGGACTCCGGGGGTTGAGGTTATATGGTGAGACCCTTCACTTCGTGGGGGCCCTACAGGAGCCATGACCGAGGATCCTAAGCTGCCATTTTGGGACCTGAAGCGCCGCATGTAGAAGTCGTCACTGTGGACTTTGGGAGGGCCATCTGTGCCAACAACCGAGGCCCTTTCAGTGGCAACAGGCCTCTCCGTCTGTGACCGTTTCAAGCTGGTCATGATGTAAAAGCAATTAGACTTAAATCCCTGCAGAAAGGACCATCATATCTAAGTTTTAAATGTGCACTTCCCTTTTGGAGAACGGTTTCCAAAAAATACAGCAGTTGCATGAGATCTTAATCTTTTTCATTTAAAAGGTTAAATGCTGCCTTATTTTCAAACCTCTGAAAAATCCAGATCTTCAAAACATTATAATCCACAACAGCTCCTTTGCTTCACTTTAATAGATGGCTTTCTTTCAGAAAAAACCAAAGGGAACTTGTATTACTGGGACTCTGTGATTGCCATAATCCCATGGTTTCTCTAAAAGAGAGAAGGACAATTGGAATTAGCATTTGATAAATACATCTAAAAATAAACACACCAGTGCCAAAACCAGACACAAGGAAATAAAAGACTCAATAATGGATTGTGGTTCACAGTTTACAGCCCATTATTTTTCGTAAAGCAGGTTTGAGAGAAAGGAAGAAAGGGAAAGCATTTAATAAAATCCATCATTTAAATTACATATATTTAAAAAGACTATTACTACTTCAGCTTAATTAAGCTGTTTCATATAACTAGGAGGGAGAGGGAATCTCATTCCAGAACATCAAGGCTCCTATCCCCAAGTACAGGCTCCAATGACTCTAACAATATAGAATATCATGAACCACTGGGCTGACCAGAAGTTCGAGACATAACCAGAGTTTCAATAATTAGAGCAATGCGTAGTCAGTTTTTTGACAACACTAAAAATTGAAAAATTACTGAATATGTTGCAACACTCACTTTTTTAACACCTTCCATATTTCAAAATCCTTACTTATTTTTTGTTTCTTTATAAAGGCTTAACATAGTTGGCAACAGCAAATACAATAGAGAGAAAATAAACAGGGCTTTCCCGGAGCCATTATATCCATTAGGACTCTTCTGTATTTCCCTCTACTTTATTACTTACCCCGAAGAGGAATATTTCCGAAGGAATCCAGCATTCACCACCACCTCTTCCCAAGCTTTCTTTAGTTTCATCTACTCTTAAAGCTGGAAATATTTCACTAATTAACAAAATGCCTGCATTTCCTTACGCATTGCAACCTACCCCACCCTTCGGTGCTAATTTATGAAGACAGCAGAAACAAAATGCTGCTCTGGATAAACCTCTCCATATTCCCCAACAGACGACAGAGAACTGTTAACATCCTTCCAGGTGATGGGCGAAGAACACCAACTTCCTCATGAGCACGTCAGTCAGGAGGCAAGAGGCACAAATTCTGAGTACAAAACCCTGCATGGCTGCATACATCCTGGAAATAAAGGCAGAGGACCCTTTTCCAAGGCTCCACAAATTACACAAGAGGTGGCCTTTAAATTCTTGCCAAATACATGTTTGGAAAGATGCTGCTGAACCAGCACTGCGCTGACAGGGCTGCATTGTCTACAAATCACGGCTGACACCCCGAGGACGACCCGCGCTCCCTGCACTCCGCTCAGCGTAACAAGCACTTACTTCCACGATAATTAAGCATCTCGCTAGTCGGCTTCCTGCCTCCGAGGCAGCCGCTTTAATTTCTCTTGCAGTACGCAGCATCATTTTAGAAGCCTCGCTGCTATTTAAAGGCTGGAACATTTAGGGGTATTTCAAAAACTGCACGCCGCCTGCAGGACGCAGGGCCAGCGAGCTCCAGCTGGGCTCGCACGGGCTGGTCTGGGCAGCCAGTCAGATAAACGCCAATTGTTTTCACTTGCGTTGCTCCTCTTCCCCATCTTTTGTGATGAGGATAATGGTTTTGCATAGCTACTTAATTGAACCTGGCTTTTGAGCTTTCTAGATACTTCTGCCATCAGATTCCTATGATTTCATTTACATTTCAGAACTTTACATGCTCCTCTTGAACTGTAAGCCTTCAAGTGGAATATGTGCTAACTGTTGCTTCCAAAGGCAGTGAGGGGCAGCCCGTGCGGCCACAGCCAAGGTTTAAGAAGTGCTCCTCATAAGATGGAAGAAAAAGCAGTCAACTGAACCAAAATGCAAAGTAAACACCAGCCAGTCTCCAAAAAAAAATCTTTTGACCACCAAAACCAGAATTTACGAGCTATTTTCTAACTAGGGGAAATAAAGCTGTTTATTTCAATGAAATGTCTTTCAAAGAAAGATACTAGCATAAAGAATAATACTAAGTAGATTCTTATAAAAATCAGATGCTTTCAACATTTCTTACAAGCTCACAGAAATCCAAATAAATCATCTACCATTCCCAGAAGTTTCATTCTCTAAAAGACCAATACACCAATCACACCATGATAAAAACTCATTCTTGTCACATTTCACTTCCCTTAGAAAATAGTTTGTTGCCGAACTGTCTTTTTTAGGATATGTAAAGTTGTATCCATTGTAGGAGGAAACTGAAAGCCAGCACTAAAATACAGTAACGAGAACAGACTTGGAGAGGCTCAATCTTGGCGGTCACTACGACAGTGCTCGTCTTCAGAACCATCTCGTCTTCAGAACCATCTCATATGCTTCTGTATTTTTTAATGAGATTTTTAAAATCTTATATTTAAACATAATTTCCTCACAATTAAAAGAAATGCCAAGACTCCTATTACATCTTGATCATTACAACAACTCAATGTTTTCTTTTAATTTCAAACTGTAGATAGGCACACAGGGGAGAGAGTGCCCATAGTTTAATGACCTGTAAAAACTGAGGAAGTTCAACATGGACAACTAAGTTCAACAACAGATTTTTATTTTTTCTGTCATGAGGACCTCCTTTCCTATTCTCATTCATTCTCTCCATCCCTGTGTCTCTCTGCCTTTCCCTCTCTCTCTCTTTCTCCATCCTTATTTATACCATCAAACCCCTTTATGAGCAATACACTTTGGACACTGACTAGCACATGTAGAAATATATATGCGTTGCATTTATTAAGCTACTAGTCGAAAATAAAGATGTCATCCACGTGTATAATATGATGACAGATCAGTAACACCTAAAACCCATACCTTAGGGTTGATGGAAAGAGCAAATATATCCTGAAAATTATTAGGAATTGTTCTAATTGTCAGCAAACCTGCCTAAGCATCATTAAATACGGTAAAAAAGCAATGGAATTAAATAGAAGAGCAATACTAATTTACAGCATGTCACTTGCATCTGTTGAAGGAGTAAGCTATATAAAAATATCCTTGTTACAAGTTAAATTTCACAGCTCTAGGTACTATTTGAGTCCACGGTAGATCCATTCAGCTAGAATCCCAAGCCCACTGTTTAAGTTCAGTGAGTTCATGGAACTCAGAAAACGAGAAGATGCACTCAAATTCTACTAGCTGAAAGTCTTTTCATCACTCAAGGTCTATACAACGTAACCCATCACACCATTTTCTGATAACACAAATCTTCCAGAGGAAGTGCTTCTTCTTCTCCTCTGAATCATCCCCAGCCTTTCTGCATTCTCCTCTCAGCATTGACTACACACTTGGTGCTAGGAGATTTGAGTTAACAGTCCCTCCCTTGGGGGGAAGCTGCAGGTGCAAAAACAGTGCTTGTCATTCCAGCTCTTTGAGACATTTACACTCTTGATCCCTCCCTCCTTCCTGAAACTCTCTCTTCTCTGCACTTCCATGATAACCATGTTCTTCTTCATTTTCTCTTGCCTCTTTCTTTTTGCTCACTCCTCAGGATCATTGGTGGCCTCCATGTAAAAGCTAGTGATTCCAGGGTGGTATCCTTGGCTTACCTCTCCTACCATTCATCTTTTTGGAAGGGGCTGTAAAGAGTATTAGTATTAGGGTGCATGTGAGCACTGAGAGCATCAGGATGAGATAGCAGGCATGGGTACACTGGAGGAAAAATATTCCTCTGGAAAGCAGGGTGTTGACTTGGTTGGATCACAGTTGCCTGTGCAACTGAATGAAGACAGAATAATGAAGTCACCTGGGGAGATATCTGCATGGTAGCCAGTACTGTCTGGTGATGTCACAGGTACCTGCTCTTTTAAATGTCATCTCTATGCAGTTATCCAAATCTCTACTCATAACCCTCTCTCCTAAACTCCAGATAAAATACAGGCAAGTGCTCATTTGATATCTTCCTCATTTATTTATTTTCTACAATGAATTAACTAACAAGCAGGAAAAGGGAAAAATAATTTTCTTCCAAGAAATAAATGGGTGAGAACAATAAATAATTGAAGGAACCAAACAAAAGAGGCAACATGGGAAACTGTTTGTGCCAAGGGCATAAGGAATAGTTTAAAGGCAACACAAAAGACGTGGGAAGGGAAAAAGACAAAAAACAACCAACAACAACTACAGTTCCTGTCCTGAAATAATTTACAGTACAATATGGCATATTCACTAAAAAGAAGTAGCATTCTTCATCAAATACTTCCACCTTCCAAAATGGGATGTTGTTAGATTCCTTAACTGGTATAGCCTCAAATACTCAATGTTTCTGGGCAAGAGAAGGAATAACTACACAGATGTCCCAATAATCCAGAGATACAAAATATGAGTACTTATGAAAGTGTCAATGTAAATAGTTTAGGAAGTTGTATACATAGATTTAGAATTCTTGCTTTAGAATGTAACAGGAAACTTTATTTTAAAATAGAAATATAACTTCACAGTGCTCGAACATTAGATTGGCTAAGATAACCAAATAAGGCAGACTATTTCCTTTACATCCATTCTTGGCTTTCTTGAATTTCACTCACATAAAAGCAACGTCTCGGACAGAAGGGTCTCACTCTTTCAGGTTAGCCTGAAACACACACAAGCATCTCAGCGCAATGTGCTGGATGATTTCAGATTTATGAATCAGCACATAACTTTTTAGACTGGAATTTCCCCTTTCTTTCATTTCCGGTCTGTCTCTTCAACAAAAAGCAGGAAGAACTGGGAAGAAAGGAGTTGATAAATCTAGTTCCTGCTCCCCAAACGTTTACTATCTGAAAAAAACACCAATGGAGACAAAGGAGAATCAAATAACTTGTGCTGAAGTTACCAAAGTGAAGGAAGAAGTTATGGATACAAAACATATATAACAAGATAAAGTTACATTTGAATTTAGAGATAGGAAAGCAACTTAAAAGGCACCTGTTTGGCCAGAGTAAGAACCAAACGAGAGAATAATATTTGCCTCTGACCCGCCGTCATAACCAAACAAGTTCAATGAAGAAAGATACATTTCAAAGGCCTAGCAAGGCTTGAGGATACTTTATATTGCTGGGAGTGAAGGAAACAATGTGAAACTTGGGCAGAAAGCTTGAGGGCAGAAGAGGGGAGATAGAATAAAGAAGGTCTGGAGCAAG